CTGCTCATAACTCTACGTCATCCGAAAAAGATTATTTTATTTCAAATAAATCACAATTAACGAGACAAAATATGATTTAATAAAGATTACTTTGAAATAATTATTTTTCTAATAACACCATTTTTCGGCAATAATTGCCATGTAAATTTTTCTAGTGACACCGGTTTTCGGCAATAAATGTCATCTACACTATTTAGATTATACGGACTATTGTCCTCATCTTTGTCGCCTCTAGCCAGAATAATGTAAATAATGTATATGTGACGTCACCCGGAGTCGCTGCGCCAATCGTGACGTCTGCCTGGCCGCACCCGCCGTGCTGTCCTAGTCGCGGCGCTAGTTGTTACATCGCCCCGTCTGTCTCCGCGCCGTCGCCGTCCTATCCTGTCTCGTGACGACCAATCTGACTTGGTATTGGTCGCGGCACCAAACGTGACGTTCTAACCTTTTGCTGATTCGGATGGGAATCTGGTTAGATTCGCTATCAGCCTTGTCGTTCCCAGCTCGCCTCCAACGTCTGGTTACCGAAGTAACTGTTTTGATTTCTAGTCTAACCTACCCACGTTGTGATTTGATCTTAGGTAGACTAAATCAATCAGTCGTCGGGCCGTAATACAAGTCGAGTCCGATGAAGGGAAATACCGCACAAGTATATGTAAAAGAAAATAAAGTAATAACTCGAAAAGTTCAAATGTGTTAAAAAAGGATAACAATACTATATATCTGGTTGCTGAATACAGGACGGCGTCTTTTCTCCCAAACCGCTATATGGATTCGTGACACTTTATGTTTGTTAGGCGAGTCTTAACATCTTAAGTTGTTCGTTCTTTAAGAAACTGGTTCTTGGTGTATCTTCAGGCGATATTCGTAAAACTTGTTTTGGTGGTGTGAGTCTAAGTCGTTCTTCAAAAATAAATTGTTCTTGGTTAGAAGTTGAGGTCGTGATTTGCGTGGAATCTTTCAGTCGGGTTCTGCGAGGCGGGTCTTCAGAGCTCTCAGCACACTGCATCTGCTTAACTCAACTCAACTCAACTCAACTGCGAACTTCGAACTCAACTGCGAACTTAACTGAACTCCTTTTCACTCGCTGCGACTCTGCTTACATGGACGCCGACCAAAACCGGGGTGGGCTTGTCGGGGTTTGAGGTTCCTTGATAATTCTAAATCCACAATCCACTTCTTTGTTTTCGGTCAGGAAAATTTATTATTTTCCATTTTTGGAAGTCTTTTGTCCTCCCACCGTCTTCTGTTTTAATATTGGTACCTCACCATACCCTCAGAGGGTGTCAACGGGTTTCCCCTCTCTCTCACAGTGGTATCTCATACCGATCCCTTCAAGGGGTGTCAACAGGCCTCCCCTCCTACTTCACATGATTACCTTCGCCTAACGCTCACGCCAGCATTCAGCCAATGGGCGTCTAGCAGTGTAGGTGTGGCCAGACTAGCCTCGGTTTAAAAAATCTTGCTCGAAGAAAAAAAAATCATCTTTTTTTTTCTTTTTCTTTTCTTTCTCTTTCTTCTTCTCGACAACAAGTCCTTAGACTCGTAGTGTGGTTTCTTAATCTCAATTTTATCTGAATGTCACCTGGAATTCGTCCCTCGGGACCTTCGCCAAATAAGTGGGTGGTCATCCGGCGAGATCCACATTCTGGCGTTAATTATTTGTTCTGATAAAATAATTTTCCTATCGTGGCCAACTTCGACATAAAACAGATGTCTTTTCCAAACGACATCTTCGTAGCTAGCTAATGGTCAATCTTTTGTTTTTGTAATTCTACGCTTGGTCCAACAGATATTTTTCTGCGACCCAGTTAATTTTTATCTCTTTAGAATTCTGTTTTGCAGGCGACTTTACCAACCTGGAATTTATCATTATCGTTGTCATGGCAGACTGATGTCGTTTATTCGGTGATCGTCATAAATCAAATTAAATTCTGTGTTTTACTTTCTCGACAATGGAAATAGAATATTACCACTTTTCCTTGTCAGAAAAATAACACGCTTAGTGTCCTGTTCGTGATCGCTTCTTATCACCTAAATTTAATTCTCGCCTTTTTTTCTTCTTCTTTTTTTCTAGCAACCTAAATAGTGTCACATATATAATACCTCATCTCAAAAATATGGACAAATGTCATTTAGTATTTTCTAATGACATCGGTTTTTTGGCAATAAATGTCGTGTAAAGTTCTTTTCCATAGTTTGTTATATATTTACTTATCCGTAGGATCTTCATTCAATTTCACTCATTCATATGTGCATGCTGGCCGTTTGTCGAATATGCCAATCAAAAGATATCATTGAAAGACATAATGTTGTAAAGGATGTGGCTTTTTAAACCTGGCAAATTTTTAAAATCCTTGACATGAATTTGGCAAATATGAGAAACACATATTGTTGTTTTTCGGTCTATTTTTGTCACTGTTTGCCCACTAAATGACATGTAAACTTTTCCGTAGAATTGATATTAATTCTCAGTAATTACTGTCATTTTGCAGTTCGTTTGTGCTCTGATATGGTGATATCTTAATCTCCCTGCATGATGCAAGTGAAGCTTACCAAAAACAGAATAGCTGAGTTCGCCCGTGTCACCCTTACGGTCTGGAATTTCTACATCAAGTGCTTTTGGAATATTTCTTTTTAGCTTTCCTATCGCAATCACAGGACTATCCATTATGAACCTTCTACGACCTTTCCCATGGAACTCCCAGTCATATGATCTGATGTTTGTAAGATTCAGTGATTCTTTTACACCGTCCATCCAACGGTCTTCGGAATATAGTACTAGATATGATGATAAAATACATTCGAGGGTAACGCCTATCACCTCTTAATTACCGCTGTCCCCAGGTTCACCAAGACGCTAAGCCGAAGCACCTATTACGGTCCCAGCTATGGGCAAATAGTAAAACTTCGAACAAAAGTAAAAACACTAGGAAAATATAAACATACATACTAGAGTAAATAATTATTTTTATAAAAAAAATACCAATATTTTTGTAGGAAAATACCGGAAATAGATTCTACTTGTCGTAGAAGGCGTTCAATTTAGTTCAAATACCTCTATATATTTCTGATATGAGGTATTATGTACACTATTTATATTATTCGGACTATTGTCCCCATCTTTGTTGCCATATTTTTCACAACGTTTCGGCCCTTGTACGCTCTGGCCTTCTTCAGGTGGTTGGAATGTCGAACTGAACCCTTTCTTTCGCTGTCTGTGGTATACTATTCTAGTTCCACGTGCCATGTCTAATGGATACCAGCTATCAGTTATCTCCTGTTAATTCCAGTCTCCATGTTCTCCACTGTCTTAACCAGGCTTCGAACTCACACTCTTTGGGTCCTGTCACTGGATCTAACTAACGCCTTTATCCACTGTGCCAGGTGTCCTAAAAGCGTTAGTTAGATCCAGTGACAGGATCCAAAGACAATACCTGGTTAAGGCGATGGAGAACTTGCAAAGGGGAATTAACAGGAGATAACTGAGAACTGACATCCATTATATATATATATTGATGTATACTTGAGCAGCCACCTTTCTTTCATTCATCTTTCATTGAAAACTAACGCCAAGGAAGATTTAATTTATATTTTATTGTGTTTTTCCAGCAATCTAACATTTTTTCCCGTTTATCAGGGTTTAAAGAATATACAAATTGTTCTTTAACCACTGAAAAATGATATAATTTTAGATTGCTGAAAAAAACATGAAAGACTGTCGCCTCTAAGTGTTGACTTCTATGTTCATTTATATATATATATATATCGTCTTTGTCGGCATCCGTCCGTCTCAGGAGACGATGGAGTAGCGCTTATTCTGTTTTTCTTTCTTTTTTTAAATTCTAGGCGATGGAGTTACATCGCCTCTGGTGACTGTGTAGTCCCACTCTGGAGCGGCGGTCTCTCAGGAACTTGGCGTAAATGAAACTGGATGACACGGAGAAGGGGGCTGTCCTTGCTTTTCTCCTGGTTCTCTTAGCTGCCTGCTGATCTTCCCTCGCAGCTTCTGCAATCATGACGCCGTCACTGACTGTGGATCTCCAAAGCTGGCGATCGTCAGTCGCGACCTCCCAAGTGTTGGGGTCGATGTCGGCCAGCTTCATGCCTCTCATTTGCAGACATCCTTGAAGCGGAGCTGAGGTCTTCCAGTTGGGCGAGAGCCCCCAACACATCTCTCCGTACAGGATGACTCTTGGGATGCGGCCGGCAGCCATACGGCGTATGTTTCCCAGCTATCTGAGACGTCTTTAGCAGATCAGCGTGAACAGGATGGGGATGCCGGCACGTTGGAGGACCTCCGTGTTAGTGACCCAGTCGTGCCACTTAATGTGCAGGAGACGTCTGGGGCAGTAGAGGTGAAAGGTGTTTAACCTTTTCTCCTGACTGGCGTAAGTTGTCCAAGACTCGCTGCCGTACAGAAGGGTGCTGAGGACACAGGCCCAGTAGACTTGTTGTTTCGTTTTCTCCGTTAACTGGCTGTTGTTCCAGACACGCTTGTTTAGCTTGGCCATGACTGCGGCGGCTTTCCCTATCCTGGAGCTGATCTCGGTGTCCAGGGAGAGGGAGCTGGAGATGATCGACCTGAGGTAGGTGAAGGAGTCTACCACCTCAATGTGCAGGCCGTTGATGGCAACGTCCTGGGAGGAGGCGGTGTCTTGTGCCAGAATGTTGGTCTTTTTGAGGCTGATGATCAATCCGAATTCCTTGCAGGCATGGGCCAAACGCCTGACTAATTCTTGCAGACAGTCCTCTGCGTGGGACGTCAGCGCAGCGTCGACGGCAAACAACAATTAACGAATGAAGACCTCAGGGACCTTGGTCTTAGCGCGCAGTCGGGCGATGTTGTAGCGTTTGAAGTCTGCTCTATTGCGGATATAGTTTCCCTCCGTCCAGTCACAGAAGGCGTACCGGAGAAGCATTAAAAAGAAGAATCCCTAGGAGTGTCGGTGCGTAGACACAGCCCTGCTTTACGCCGCTGCTCACAAGGAAGGCGTTGGATGTTCCGCCGTTGTAGCAGGCTGTGCTGTGCACGTCCTCGTGGAAAGACTTGGCCATTTGGAGCAGTCTTGGGGACATTCTACTCTCCTCTCCAGGAGACCGAAGTGTTCGCTTCTGCTGACCAAGTCGAAGACTTTCGTCAAGTCAGTAACACTGATATACAGTGGTTTCTACTGCTCACGGCAATTCTCCTGCAGCTGGCACAGCGAGAAGATTATGTCAACTGTAGATCGGTCCGCCCTGAAGCCACACTACCACTCGGGGTACACACAAGATGCGAGGCTCTGCAAAGGTGGCAAGAAGACGCGGGCAAAGACTTTCCTGACGACGATCAGGAGGGAAATGCCGCGGTAGTTATTGCAGTCGCTGCGGTCACCTTTATTCTTATAGAGGGTGACAATGTTGGCATCTTGCATGTCCCGGGGGACATGGCCCTTCTCTCAGTACAGGCACAAGAGGTCGTGGAGATGCTGCAGCAAAGCCGGCTTGCGCCTCTTCAGAACCTCCGAAGGGCCCTCTCACAGGAGAGACAGTCAATGGCTTTTCCGAGTTCCTCCGCATATGCATGCAGGTGTAATAGCTATTATTATTCAAGTATACCCTCTGTTCGTGTGGCTTGTTAGCTCTGGCGCAATTATAATTCTTTAATGTGATTTCTCCCGTTTCCACACCGCTACACGAAAATAAATAAATATACTGTCTATATTTCTGAAATGAGTTATTGTAATTCTTTATATCATTAACATTTTTCAGTCTGTTGTCCTGACCTTTCTGTCTTGAAGGACACTTGACCCAATGGATAAAAGTTGATATATTTGTTGTATTTAACCTATTGTTCTAAAAGTTGGGATTTCTATTCTTTTTTTCCTTTTTCTTTTTGTTTTTGTGCTTATTAACATAAAAAAAAACTAGCATCATACGAACATTAGCTTCTGATAAATAGATAAATATACTCAAAATTGATGTACGAATTATTTCGTCGTTGACTGTATATATGTGCATACGGGTGCATATGTATGTGTGTGCATCTTTGGGATTAATTTATGTGTGCTACAATTAAAATTATGTACGATCTTTTTCATATTTTATATCTGTTTATTAAGTGTTTTGTGATTTTATGACAGTCATTATCAAGAATTAATATTCTATAATGGATTTTTCTCTTTTGCACTTCTCCATTCGTTATTTGTACTTTTGGAATGCATTTAATGTCAGATAAACATGGCGGTACAAATGGTTGTAAAGATTTAAATACATTCTTCATTTTCATTTTCTTAAATTTAAAATGATTTTGGTAATTACTTGTTCATTTGTTTATAATGGGAAGATTGTAAAATGTATAATTCTTTCCCAGTTTCTATTAATAAGTATTAATGTATAATCAATTGGAAACAAAATTTAGAGATTTTAGCAACATTTTCCGTGCTTGACGGTTTGGTTTCTACATCATAAACCGGATGCATATGTGAATCCATGCAGACTAATTTGACTGTGTATCGCGTATGCGTATGAGCGTGCGTATCCCCAGGCTTGCACATGAATCAGCATTCACACATACATACATGCACAGATATATATATATATATATATATATATATATATATAATTATTATTATTATTATTATAATGGACTCTCACGTCGGTTTCGACGTATGAGGAAGTGACAGCTTAATTGATTTAGTTATGAAGCTTTGTGCAATAATCTTAAGTGCCACTTAAGACCCGCTATTGATTTACAAAGGAGGCCAATTATAGAGCAAGAGTGAGGATTATGGGATGAGATCACTGTTAGATAGACGGACTTTTTTAGATCTTGCTCTCGCTTCTTGAAGATTATTCAGACAAGCAAATTGAAAACCGTTTGCCTGAATATATATACATATTCATATATATATATATATATATATATATATATATATATATATATATATATAATGTGTGTATATACCCATAAACAGTGCGCATCTCCTACCATGAATTGAAACCCGAACTGTTTCGTGTGCGTGTGTGTCAAATAAAATAGAATAATTAAAAATAAAATTAAGTAAATAAATAATATAAAAAAATAATTCACAATCTTTTGTGCGGCTTCGTGCCCAAAAGCCGTTAAACATGACGTCACTTTTAGATCATTTCAACAATCGTGTTTCCCAAAGAATACCAGATTGTAAACAACAAAATTCTAACAAAAGAATTAATAACTACTAAAAATTTCTTACATTGGTTATTAATAATGTCTGCGTTAGTCGAAGGTACTTCAACAAAATCATCAAAATATAAACTTCGCACAGTTTATCAAGAACTCTGAGTATAATACTCAACTCTTTATATGAAAATATAATCAAAAATGCAACACAACTTGTTGGTTCTTTTAATTAAACTTGTAAAAAAAAATCAGAAACACAAAGGCAGTCGTAGAATAGTCCCATAATTTACCTACACCTCACTAATTATTAGTACATATGATTGAAAAAAGCATTATCTATCTATCTATCTATCTATCTATCTATCTATCTATGCAGTACAGTCATCTCACATCTATCTATGTAGTACAATCATCTCACATCTATCTATCTATGTAGTACAATCATCTCACATCTATCTTTCTATGTAGTACAATCATCCCACATTTATTTATCTATCCTTTATATTTTATATATATATATATATATATATATATATATTGATGCATGTTTCATTAAATTTTTTTTTTTTAATTTTTCATGCAACAAAATCATTATTGTTTCGTCCGTGTATTTGTTGATATATTGAAAACTAATTGTCATCTTTGATAATGGCTTATGTAAGCCGAAAGCTTACATTGGATTTAAACATGTATCAATATGGTGATTTCCTTTCGTCATTCAATGAATGTTATTAAGCTTATCAGACAATATGAAAGGAACTTATTTAAAATAAATAGAAAAAACTTGTCTCTATTATTTAATGAAACATCCATCAATGAAAAATTGCTGCCTAAATATACACAAGTTATATATATATATATATATATATATATATATATATATATATATATATATATATATATATATGATCGAAATAAAATTATAAAACTTAATATTACGAGATATATTAAAAACGGGCCCCATTTAATATGTCTCGCAATATTAAAGTTTTATACTTTTATTTCGATCATTAAAAATATATTCATTTAGCATTGATTATTGCTGTTTAAATGTTTGGCATTCGCTGCAAAAGATTTGTCAAAATATAAGTTTGATAATTGAATCACTTCTTCTTTCACTAACTCTAAGATAAGTTTTTTTTTTTTTTTTTCACACTTCTGTCAAGTTTATCCCATGCTAATTTCTGGGATGGCTTCAAAATTTTTGAAATTATATTTATATATATATATATATATATATATATATATATATATATATATATATATATATATATATATATATATATATATATATATATATATATATAAATATATATATATATATATAAGTATATATATATATATATATATATATATATATATATATATATATATATATATATATATATATATATATAGTATATATATATATAAGTATATATATATATATATATATATATATAAATATATATATATATATATATATATATATATATATATATATATATATATATATATATAAGTATATATATATATATATATATATATATATATATATATATATATACGTATATATATATATATATATATATATATATATATATATATATATATATATATAAGTAATATATATATATATATATATATATATATATATTATATATATATATATATATTCATAAAACAAGCCCTGAACCCCGTTTATACAGGTTCAATGGGCATATATCCGCATATTAAAATGGCCTTGTGCCATATATATATCGTGTGTGTGTATGTGTGTGTGAATTATGTTCATATATATATATATATATATATATATATATATATATATATATATATATATATATATATTACGTGTCTGTATGTGCATATAACATGAAAAGCCATACTAGGTCCATATGGGGCATACAGAGTAAATAGAAATGTTAACGCCTGTTTGTGCGAGAGAAAGAAAGCGAGAGAGAGAGAGTAAAATATGTGTGTGGATGTGAGAGAGAGAGAGAGAGAGAAAAGTGAGATAGAATGCTGGAGAAATATCTGAAAAAATATCTAAGACAAACCAGTAGTGTTTTTCCCAAGCTGGAGTAGCTTATCGTCGTACACAGGACGGAAATACCTTTGTGTATGCAAGCAAGTATGGAATGAATAAGAATCCAGTCAACTCAAGAGACATGCAAAAGTATTCTTCTGACCACAAGATCCTTATTTTATCAGAATTTTCCTCTCTGTATTTTTAGACATGCTGATATTATCTGATAATCCGTGAGGAAATCTTTTATTTATTCTGTCCTTTATTCAGTCGAATATCTTCATAACTGATTTATGTATTTCTGTGATGCAGTCTTTATTCAAACTAATATTGTCATTCTGAAATGTCGTAGTTTTATTATTCCATACCTATTTCAGATTTGTATTATCATCATTGATATTTCGGGAGATATATAATCTGGTCCTCTCCAGGTACATGTGGCATACAATAGTCTTTAAATATCGTTTCCTAATTTGATTATTTCATAGAGTTTATGCAATTTAACCAGAATAGTTACTTTCATCTAATTTTCGGAGAGATTATGGTACAAATTGACTATATCGAAAGAAGTTTTCTTTGGAAATGATGTTGTTCACTTCCTGGTTTTGTTACTGCGACAGGAGGACATCTCTAAAAGATCGCGATAAATGATGAGACATGTAATAATGAAAAACTCGAAGAAACAGTGGTAGCTAGCAATCCTACAAGGTAATTAGAGAGGTATCGAGATATTTAGAGCGATAGAAGAATAGATCTATCTCTCTATCTGCATAGATATATAGATAGATGTGAATATTTTACATAGATAGATGCCAGCAGACATAGTTAAATAGATAGGTGTCAAGAGATTTACATAGATAGATAGATAGATAGATAGATAGATAGATAGATAGATAGATAGATGCGAAAATTTGACATAGATGTCAATAGACATAGATAAATAGCTAGATGACAACAGATAGATAGATAGATAGATAGATAGATAGATAACAACAGATAGATAGATAGATAGATAGATAGATAGATAGATAGATAGATAGATAGATAGATAGATAGATAGATATATATCAAATGACTATGCTATACATATAGTTAGACCCATGGCCCAGTGAATAAAAGCCTTGGTTAAATCCAGTGACTTGACCCAAAGTGTTGTGAGTTCAATACCTGGCTACTGTAGTGGTGAACGAGACTTGAGTTAAAGGGAGATAACTGAGACATTCGGAAGAGGTAAGGCACGTGGAAGTAGAATAATCAACTCCGGTGGATGAAATAAAGCTTTCAGTTCGGAATTCCACTCCCCTAATGAAGGCCTGTACGTTCAACAGCCGAGACGTCGTAAATACGGCAAGAAAGATGAGGAAACAGTCCGAACAATTTAAATAATAGATAGATATTAACTAATTAAGTTACAAACACACACACACGTCTATATCGTTCATACGTTATTTGTGTAGATAAAAATATGTAAGTAAATGCTCTTTTTATAATAAACAGTAATAACAAGATTTACCCGCCTGAACCAGCGAGAAATTTCATAGAAATTATGTATCCTCCGACAGGAATTGAACCTGTATCCTACAAAGAACCATCATATAACCTGATGTCCTGTATCATTTAGCTAAGCGGAAACGTCTAGGTAGCGAGATCGAATTATAAAAAAAAGCATTTACTTGAATATTTGTATCTATAAAAATAACGTATAAACGGTAACTATATTAAAATCCATTCCATAATAGATAGATAGATGGATGTGAGATGATTTTACTACATAGATAGATAGATAGATGTGAGAATATTGTACTACATAGATAGATAGATAGATAGATAGATAGATAGATAGATAGATGTTACAATATTGTACTACATAGATAGATAGATAGATGTGACAATATTGTACTACATAGATAGATAGATAGATAGATAGATAGATAGATAGATAGATAGATGTGACAATATATTGTACTACATAGATAGATAGATATATAGATGTGAGATGATTGTATTACATATATATATATATATATATATATAGATAGATAGATAGATAGAGATGATTGTACTAGATAGATAGATAGATAGATAGATAGATAGATAGATGAATGAAATAGATGAATAGATGTGAGATGATTGTACTAGATAGATAGATAGATAGATAGATAGATAGATAGATAGATAGATAGATGACTGTATTACATAGATAGATAGATACATATAGATAGATAACGCTTTTTTCAATCATATGTACTAATAATTAGTAGAGTGAGGTGTAGGTAACTTATGGGCATATTCTACGACTGCCTTTGTGTTTCTGAATTATTATCCTTTTTATTTCTTCTTATTTTGACTAGCGTAGACCCGCGACTTCGATGCCATTGTGACAATCAGCCATGACCTCGGCCAGTAAGTAAACAAGTGTGCTATAAATTAGGTGAGAAACAGATCATGGAGGAAAATAAAAGTTAAAAATACATTGATATTGAAAGCCTAAGAGTGATAAAAATAGATCAAATTTAATAATACCACGATGCTCGTATCCATTCTATGACTTTTGCAATGCATTTGAATACACATATGTAAGATCTTGAACAGTTTCACTTGCAACTGCAGCCTAATCGAAGAGATACATGAAGGTAGAGAGATAAAATGAAAGTAATTTGTATAAAAAAATGTAGTTTTACCGAAGATGATGAAACCAATCTTTGACATGAGTTATTAGGAGGTGACTTTAATTAGCATATTCTTTGATGTGGTTAAAAGATTTTGAAGACATATTCTTGGCTTATTTTGAAGTGTAGTCATTATGTTTCTGAATCACTCAAATACGTAAGAAGGTCAAACAAAATTTTAAAAAAAATTAAAAAAATCAATGTCAAAAAATAAAAAAAAGAGGCAAATATCCGATAAAAAGAAACAGGACGTGATAAATACAATTCCCAAAGGTTTAAACTAGCATTTCCTGTCTTTTGTACCACAAGAACAAAAATGGCAAGCACTCAAATGATTACACCTTTGATCGAAATTGATATATACGATTTATTAAATTTGGATTCATTGGACACTGACGGGCGTATCTATAAATAAAATAAACTGGTAAGATATAATAAGATATATATATATATATATATATATATATATATATAATATATATATATATATATATATATATATAAAGAGAGAGAAAAATACTCATACACACATATATATATATATATATACATAAATATATGTACATATACATAAATATATATATATACATAAATACATACATAAATATATATATATACATACATAAATATATATATACATACATACATAAATATATATATATACACATAAATATATATATACACACATAAATATATATATA